GAATTGATTACATTTGGTGGTTGATCCGGATCTAATTAATTAATTAATTAATTAAATTTTGACGATAGGTCAGAAATAGGGTAACTTAGAATTGATTACATTTTGGTGGTGATCCGGATCCAATCAATTATTTAATTAATTAATGAATTAAAATTTTTACAGTGAGAGAATTGAGCTGCCTTGGCGGAGGTCTGCGCTCTCCGAGTGCTCTAGTTTTATTATGTTATATACATTTAATAGTGGCGTTTTCCTGTTAATTTAGTTTATTGTGTGCATGAGTTTTTTTTTTCTTTGTCTCCTCTTCATATCCTCTTATTATATTAATTGATTTCGCCGATAACCACAATTACCGGGCAGTATTTTACAAGCTTTTTAACTTGACTCTTTTATTATCGGTAATATGCACGCAATAAATTACTGCAATGTTGATTACATTAAGTATTTAGTGGTGTCTTCCTGCTTATTTCGTTTCTTTCGCGTGGCCATTGATTCGCGTAAGTTATTCTTCCTTAGTTCTCTCGTTCTCAGCTTGATTTAACGCACAATCCGGCAATATAAGGGCAGTCATTCCGGGTCATCACTTCGTTATGTCAAGGCCCTTACTCTGTATTTCAATCGTTTCTCGCTGGCCGACATATCGTTATAACTGCGAAGAAGCGACATCGCCTGAACGAACGCACGGTGGTAACACGTTCTGCATACAGAAAGGTGAATGTCATGTGCGTGAGCATACGACAGGAAATCTCGCTCTGCGAACACTTTCTATTCATGTTCGTGACATTTGTACGTGTAAGCGCATAAGTGGTTTTCTATACGTATACACGCATAAGTGAGTATATAGCTCATATGACTGCGTAATGCTCAAAACACACACGAGCGCGTGCACGTACGTATATACATACACGTACAGGGGACACACATACACAGACACACAGACACACACACACACACACACACACACACACACACACACACACACACACGAGCGCGTGCACGTACGTATATACATACACGTACAGGGGACACACATACAGGAGCGGATTAAGGCTCACTGGTGCCCTAAGCACTGACCAATTTTGGTGCCCCCAGTCCATTTTAGTTGTGGACCTGTCTGACCAGATATACAATGCAGGTTGCAGCAGTACAAAAATTTATGTAGGATTTCAAGGAGGGTGGTGATAAACAGGCGGGGGTATGGGGGTCCTCCCCCAGAATTTTTTTTAATGTAGATCGCCGGGGATGGTATTTGAGGCACTTTTGAGCGTACATGCATGTACACCTTCATTCTGACTACGAGTCAATCTATTTGGGTTTTTTACACGTTTCAGTTGTGAGAAAGACCTCTCTGTTGTGCAGTTGGTGACCATTAATGTTAAAAATATTCTTAAGGCAATTTCAACATTTGGAAAGGCACTCTCTAGTTTGTCTTCTGTAATTGTGTTGTAAAGTTCCATGTGAGTGAAAGATGTTTTCTTGGTTGTTTTAAAACTTCCAAACAGTCCTCTTTCTCCGTCCCACTTCA